CTTGAAGTGGAATTGCACGGCAGCAATACAAACTTCAAGTGCAACTTGAGCAAAATTTTCCAGGGATTGTTCTAAATATTCAATAGTGCTGACTTCTTTTAATTTATGCTCTGGTGGTCTTGAATCTGCGCGGCCATGTACTTAGTGCACACACTTCCTCGCTTTTATAATATAAAAAAGTATTTTTACCGCACCAACTTTTCTTCTATTTCCTCTCCGAGCTCTTGTGCTGTGGTTGAATGTGGGCAGCAGTTCTATCCTCTTTCTTCCAGCAACAATAGTGGGCCAATTAGGTGCGGGTGAGGAAAAAAACCCGCACAGGCCAACATAAGCCAAAAGCCCAAAAGAGTTTCAGAAATAAATTTGTAGCACCCATGAATGGCCGCAAAAGTTTTTTTTTTTTTGCAAAAGTTTTTGAATATCAAATGAGGAAAGTCAGTTGGTTTTTTTTATCCCGACTAAAATCAGAGAGAATAAAAAAAGAAAATATCATCAAAAATCAAAAGTTTAAAATTTTTATTTTCTACGGATTCGGGTTCATCGATTGATTTTGAAATTCTTGTAATTGTTTTTCAATGTTTGTTCATTTGCCCTCCTTTTTTTTTAACAGGCTTTGCACCCCAAATGCATAAAACCGAATAAACTGAAAATACCACGCGCGTGAGAGTGAAATAAATTGGCAACGCCGACGCTATAAGCAGTATCAAATTACGGTCTCGCGCATTCGAGTTCCGGGCAATTGAAAAGTTGAAATGGTCCCGCATCTGGCGTGTGCGGTGCTGCTCTGTTATTTTAGGTGTTTTCGATTGAGGACGAGAGCGAGGCGAGGGGCGAATAAAGTGGAGATAGAAAAAGCTATATCGCGGCACGAAATTGTTGAGATAGTTGGGCGATGTTAAATTGCCCAGGGTGGAATGCATGCATGTGTACGCTGGCGGGCGCGCGCTGAATGGCAGCATACAAATGAGATTGTGCAATTTCGCCCCGAGGGATTTCGTATATTTAGAAAACTTTTTATGGTGTTCCCAATAAGCCGGTCGAGTAGAACAAATTCACCCACTGTACTTTTGGTAAAAATTTTGCAAAAATAATTTATGTTGGAAAGAAGTGATAAAAGAGTTAATATTTTGCGAACGAACGTTGCAAAATTCTATTGTGGGTAAGCAAAAACAACATAACAAGCGCAGATCAATTGTTTGAAAATGAGAAAATATTGATAATTTTCCATATTTGAAATATACGCTCCAGGCGTTTATTTTGTTTGTGATCGGATATAAATATTATTTAAAATTGGGCAATGACTTTCAATCTTTACAATAATTTTATGAATTTTAAATAAAATGCTGTTTGTTGGTCATAATGAAGTAAATTGCAAGCAAATTCTAACTAAAATAAATATAATAGTAATTGTTGGAGTTTTTCAACCTTACATCCTTAGAAATAATATAATTTAATGAATAAAAAATAATTTAATTAAAAAAAAATAAAAAAAGTGAATAAATAATTAAAGATTCTTAATTATTTGTAAAAAAATTTTATAACATAAATTTGCTTAAAAAATTTACCTCTTTTGGTCATCAAATTTCAGCAAAATTTAATGATACAACCTCATCGAATAATAAAATATATTTTATAATTCTGGTGGCTTTCCCGGATCACTCCACTCCAACTATCCCGCCGTCCGTATGCAAAATTCCAGAACCTGTTCACGGTTGGCATATTACCTATGTATTCTCATCTGCGGTTCACGTGACATTTGGGAAGGCACTTGAGAGTGCTGCACCGCAACACACGCGCGCCTGCTGTCGACAACTCGCACGAGCTGCACATTAATCCACCTGCACAATACAACTTGCAGCCCACATATGCATCAGAAACTGGGTTACCCAGTCTACCATACAAACTCAAGACGATTAATCCGACATGACTTGGTAATAATAGTTTAGATCTTGTTAGCACTTGGATGCAGGAAATTAACGACCAGGGCTGGTTTTGTGATGATTTGCGTTTTCTGCTCCGCTTTGTCCCTGCAGAAGTGCCTGTTCAGCAGAAAATCGCCAGTTTTCATTGTTTCTGCTGCATGTGGGTCGTGCATGCATTTCAATGCGAAGCAAGAATTATTATAAAGAGCCAGTTTTGTTTGCGGATGTTAATGACCATACTGTTGACAAAGCGATTCTCTTTCCCTTGTTGGCAGTTAGTTTAAAAAAGAGTTCACAAATTGATGCTCTTGAGCTTTTATGCAAAGAAGCTAATTTGTTTGTGGGTGGAAATATCTATTTTAAAGGCGATCTCGCGTGCAAAAAAAAAAAAATATATGCTGTGTGGAGAGGAGCCAATTTGTATCAGGTTCTTCTTGATAATTGATGGTTGCCAAAAATAGAACTGGAATAAATATAGTTTCAAAGGTCTAAAAGGACAAAATGTATCTCATTAGAGCTTTTTTCTGCAGAAGATTAATGATTGAGAGAAAATGGTCCGATGTTTTCAAATTAGGCAACGATTAATTATGAAGTGACCTAAAAGAATTTGTGTATCTCTATGAAATGAGATGGGAACTTGAAGCGGGCTTATGAAAAACCTCTGCAAAGGAAAATTTTATAGAACGAAAACCGGAATTAAAAAAGTTGATTAATTATTAAAAAACTCGCTTATTTTTCACATTAATTTTGAAGGAAAAATTCCAGCGAGCAGCGCACGAACTCGTTCTATGGAGTTAACAACAGCAGGTTTACATTACATTTTATCGAAAAATTGCGCTTTACGTACAGTGGTGTAATAAAAGAAATTTACAACTCAAAACATTTCCAGTCAGGCGGCTCTTAAAACAATAACTTAATTAAGCGGCTGTTTCTCTCTCTCGGCGGTGCGCCGGGCACTAAAATAATAAAAAGCCTCTCACGGAAATTCAATGAATTCTTTATGGGCCGGGCAAAAACACGGTGTGCACACGCGCCAGAAATTACAAATGCCGTAAAACAAATAAAGGAAAAAATATAAATTTACCATGAAGAGATACCTCGAGTGGTGTCCGTGTCTCGCTCTTATCAAAAGCAAACACGCGTCCGCTGCTTTTTCTCGCCAATTTCGGATTTTATTATTCCTTATTTGCGCACGATGAGACATTCAAGAAGAGAGATCGATACATTTCCATCCTGACCGGCTGCAGCAAAAGTCGGCCCCCGGAATAGGCAAAGGGCGCGCCGTAAACTTTTTATTGTGTGCCGTGCTCTTGGAGACGCTGCCAGTCTCTCTATTTCGCAACAGTTTTTCTTGACCGGACCTCCCATTGCCTGCAAAGTGGGCTGTGCAAACAATTTTTTCGCAGAGCTGCCCTCACAATTAGATGTGAATAAAATTTAGATTTTTATATTCTCATAAGACAAATAAAACAAAATTGGTTAAAAACTATATGAGCTTTGCCATGGTTCAGATGAAAAATTTCAAGTATTGTGTTTCACAGAGAAAATGGTTTAGTTATAAAAATAAAATAAAAATCTATGAGTTGAATAATTCATTTCATTGATCAAAATGATAAGAATTTATTCCCGTAATAATTTATATTGAAAAGGTAATTTACTTTTGCTAAGAGAGAGCAAAATTATCATTCTACATAAAGCCATCAATTAAATTAAAATTTATGCTTAAACACAACCTATGTAGTATCGATTAATCAAAAAAGTTTTTCTTCCAGTTGATGAACTGCTTTCCTTAAAAACTGATCATATCAATAGTTGAAAAATATTATATAGTATATAGATTTCTTAATCTTTTCTTTCAATTGTCTTGGCAGCTTAATTAGCAGGAAACTTGAATTTTAATTTTACTGCTAATGCGCCTAAAATCACCTTCTGTGCTCTGCAAATAAAATCCTTTAATAACATCAAACATCGTATCAAGCGCATTCATTAAAAAAAATCCATCCTTTTGTTTGTGAAGAACAAAGTGCGTAATTTATACTAACTACAATCATACTTAGAAATCTCGTGTGTTTGCGTTTTATAAGTACATGCCAAACATCAAAGCAAGACAAAAAATAAAAACCCACCCTTGATGAGTTTGGAGGCTGTCAAAGCTAACTTGTGCGTTTTTGCATTGCCTCAAATTCGTAAATTCGCGCAGAAAGCGAAAAAAAGGTTCAAAGAAACGAGTGAGCCTTTGAGCAAAATCAGATACAGTGAACAACGAGTGCTTATAGCATGCAAGGGTTTTTCCCATTCAATGCGATTCAAAAGAGAAGCGTGAAAATAGTGCTCGGGGCTGCGCCGCTGCGAGACGGGAAATAAATCAGCGGAAACTCGAGGCCTAGATGGGGAAGAAAGACGACACAAGTTAGCGGTCTCGGGAACAAAAATGCTTTTCTCGCCATTCATCAGAGCGGAGAGTTTGACACTCGAGTGCAAGGTCGAGACGTGCGAAAGAGACGCAGCAGTTTCAATGAGGTGTGTGAGAGAGCGAAAGTGGCACCGCTGCCGGGCGAATTTCGGTGTGGCAGCAAAAAATGCGCTCGGCCTTCATACATTTTGCACCCACCCGCCAGAAACGTGAGGGTTTATTTCGGTGCGGTCAAAGTTGGGGCCGGTGCGCCATAATTCATCAGTTCGGCCCGTGTGAGTCGCAGAAGGGAAGTTAGTTCAATTAAGTTTCGTTTGATTTACATATTTGGAAATGATATACGTGTACATGAATCAATCCAACACCGAAATATAAGGGAATATGTGAACAGGGTGTAGTTTTAATTTATATTCAAAATAGTAAAAATTATGGATATTGCATAGACAAGCATGGCGCGCGTCTTCTTAATAATTTATTATTACCATTCAAAGTTTTTTTCATTGAAAAATAAATGCAGATAAAATGAAAAAATTATTCAATTTAAACGCAGATAAAACGCCTCCCAGCCAACTTTTTTTTGCAAAATTCAAGTTAATATCAATAAGTAAAAGGAATAGAAATGGGAATTTAGATTGAAACAAAATTTGAAACATATTTTTTCAGGATTTAGTATTTTAATCAAAAAATATAGAACGGGAAATGCAATTGATTATATATCTTGAATAAAATGAGAATCAGTGTGGAGAATAAATTATTATTAAGGAACATTAGGGGCAATTAAGCGCTACCCCACACCTACAACCGGTGTTTTATCTAAAGAAAAAAATATGTGTTTCTTCTTCTTCGCTGCAAAATAATTTTTTAAGCCTATAGGCTTTTTCGCGTCTCTTGAACAAACTTCTATGCTTCATTTCTCATACATTTTGTTTATTTTTACCACAATTAAAAAATATAATTTGATATTTTGAATATACCCCAAAATTTCCTTATAAAGAACAAAATATTCTCCACTCAGTATATTCAGAATGTTAAAAAAAATGTGTATTAATTGGAATCTTTGACAGAAAAATGACATCGAGCTTGAGAGATGTCCGCAAGCGAGATAAGCAAGTGTACATGATAGTATGGTATAACTCTGCTTTCAAAGGTTTGCAACCTAGTGCAATGTTCAACAATGAGCTTCAAAAACTTCACGTGCAGGTCGTAAGTCTTATTCGATTCCACTAATAAACTTGAGTGGAAGTGAACGAGATTCAGCAAAAACGGTTTTGAGCCATTCAGGATATCATCTGGAGAGATGAAGATGTTTTCAAGGCGGACTGTGTGCAACTCAGGGGCAAGCAGAAGCCTTGAAAAGTTAGCATAATTGGGGTCTAAAGAGGTGCTTTTGAGGTGAAGCTGCCTGAGCTTAAGCTGCTGGGGATCAATGATGACTTCACTCTGATATCTCTTTGCAAGGTAGTCTTCGATTCTCAGAGACGTCAGGTTGGGGCAAAGAAGGAGGATTCTAAACACGTCCACACAGTAGCCGCTTCCAATCACGCATACATGAGTAAGTTTGGGCCCAAGAACCTCTAGGTAGGTGCCAATATTATTGTAACTTGAAGCACCGTGATAAGCATCTATTATTGTGAGACTTGTTAGGAAGGGCAGTGTTCGCAAGAGCTTTGCTCCAGGAAAATAATTGCGTCTGTCATTATCATCGTCGTTTAAAGGTTCGCACACGACAACCTCCCTCAAATTAGACAGGCATTTAGAGATGCTGAAAATGTGCAAATATCAGCAAAAAAAATTACAAATAAGCGGGGTTATTTTTTACTCGTCTTCACTGCCTCGAATGAAAGTACTGAGACGCTCCAGTCTGAACGTGTGTTCACGAGCCTGCCGAATATTCAAATAGATACAAGAATCAAAGTTTTCCATTCCTAAAGAATCTAAACAGCAGGCAGAATTAATTTAAAGCATCTTCAGTGCAAAAACTGGTAATGTATTAAGACTGTAGTTCATATTTTCTTACCATTCATGTCTAATCTATTGATTCTTTTTAATTGGGGAATTATTTTCAAAGCTTCCTGATAGTGAGCACCTCTGCTAAGCTTTTCACATAGTGTAAGTTCTTCTAATTGAGGAAGGGTTCCCAAGATTTGCAGACCTTTGATAGTCAGTGTTGCTGAATAAATCAATGTGATGCTTTTCAATTGGTGGCAACTCTTGCTCAGGCTCTCGACGTCATCTATAAACATAGAAATAATATTGGCGCTTCGAATTTCTTTAAATTTTTACCATCACTGAATCGGACAGTGTTAAGGTTCAGGTGTTCCAGGTTGGTGAACTGGATAAGGAGGTCAATAATATTTCTGCTCCCTGAGGGCTCTGGTGCTAAATATGTGACACTGCGCCTGTCCACAATGCTCCTCATGCCCTCCGGATACTTTGCAAGGAATTGCAAAATTTTGAAATCCAAACCATTAAGATCAAAGAACATTTCTTTAGCAACACACAGGTCAAAGTCAAATCTTTGCAGGGTAGAGTTGATCAGCTGCCTAAAGACACTCAGAGGAATCGTAACCTTCGGCCACTCTGGCTTTCTGTCTTTTTTCACCCACTTGAAGTGTAAAATTGACTTTTAGAATTATTCTTCGATTTTTAAGCATTTTTTTTTAATGGCAAAGTTTTTTTATCTACACTTACCTGCACAATGTTGTTGTCTTCAGATGGGACCAGGTATCTCCGCTCTTGGTGCCAACAGTAAGGTTCACGATACGGTCCTTTTATGTCCAAGACATAGGTCAGGATGTCAGATTTTAGTCTTAGAGCTACACAATTTTACATAGAAAAAAGTACAAGTGGGTATTAACTATTTTCTATTTATTACGCAGTCTGTCGATCCATTGTGGGATCTCTGAGAACCGGGGAAGCATGTTAAGAACAACGCTCCTCATGCATAACTCACGCAGGGAGACCAAGTTGTAGACTCTTGAGTGCAACAATCGGGTTGATGCGCAAATTAAATCTTCAGTCTCTTTGTGTCCCACAATGAAATCTAAATAAAAAATTTAAATCTTTTTCAAACTGATCATAGAAGTTTAAAATGAAATTTTGCAGTTTTGTCGCTCCACTTGCTTATATTGTGTAATTATGTCAAGAAATATGTGTATAAATATTTTTTAAATTTCCAATTTGCCTATTTTTCTGATAAAAGGAATGCCATATTTTATCAGAAAAATTACAATTAAAAAAACTCGAGCAACCCTTTCACAGCATTAAATCCTCTAGTGAAGGCCTCTTAAGGTTCCATTCAAATTTTTTTTTCTCCAAAACTAATTAAATAATATCACTATTAAATTAAATTTCATCTAAAAATGTTAATATGCAGACAAAATAGTACAGCACCTTTAATACGTTGCTCGTTGTTCCAATGCTCTCTTTCCCCAAATTCCATTTTGATATTATTATCTCGTTGAATCAATCAAATATCAATGTGATCGTGAGCTCGTCTTTTCAGATTGCCTGAAATTTTCGGCGAAATTTCTGGTGCATAAAATTTTGAATGATTCTGCAATCTCAAACCTATATGAGGATTTTTCACTCACCTTTCAGCCAATCTTTGACAGAATCTTCAGGGCTCAAAATTTATTGCTAATTTTGTGCGTCCTTCTCCATCGATTAGCACAAGCGCGCGCTGCAGTGAAAAGTGAAATAGTATTCTTGTGATTGAGACTCTCAGACAAATGACCCCGCTTCGTTTCTGGACTCTCTGCGATCCGTGATGTTTATTTAATTGATACAACACTTTGTATGATTTGTGTGGTGGCACAAATATGACTTTAACAGAGAAAACTTTCTAGAAAAAAGACTTGTGTGTTGTTATTATCAAGAAAAGTTATTTGCTCTCAAGAATGGGCGAGGCTCTTCAAATTTTCTATTTGAAAGGTTGCGCGCGGGAACACTGCGTGCTCCCTCTTATACATATCTTGGTCCAGGGATTGCCGTGGTAGAGAGTTGCAAGTTTCATTATAATTAATTTTATTTTAATTTCACTATACAAGCTCAAACAAGCGTTTTATTAATTCATCACACTTATAATTTGGGAGTAGCACTTTTTCTTTCACAATAAAATGTATTGATATTTATTTATGTTTTTATTACAATATTTAAATAAATTCACTCTCACTTAATATTTTGTTGTGCATAATCCTAAATGAAGTCACGCTTATTTTATCAAATGCTTTTCGGCACAAAATAAAAATAGATTTTTACATTTTAATAAATTTCCATTGAAATAATTAAAAATTAATTCATTAAATTAACTTGAACAAAAAAAAAAAACTATTGAATTTTATTAAATAAACTGCAATATTAAATTAAAAGAAGACGATTTTTACTTCATATTTTAACAATGTTTAATTTAATTTATTTATTTTGTTAATTCATATTTTATTTATTAATTATTTTATTTTACGATGAATATCAGACTAAGCTTTGGTTTATGAAAATTATTTATACTTTTTATCATTAGTTCATCTTTTTTTCAAAATATAATTCCAGTGAACTCATTGCATAGAATATAATTGATTAAAATTAAATGCAACGTTTTCAATGGCGATTTCGTATTTCTTTTAATGTTATTCCCATTTTCATTATTTGTTGCCATATTGTGAAGAAATAAATTTCCCTATAGCCTGTATTCACCACTTGCTGGTATTGATTCTTGATCAAACGCAATAATATCAGGCAATGGGTCACATATAAATCCGATTAGGGGCTGATTCGCACCCGCATTGTGCACTATGACAGAAACCTTTGCCGGCATAATAGAGCAGCGAGCGTTATATAGAAATGCGCCAGCTGCTCATGAATGTTGCATGAGAATTTCCAATTTGCGCGGCGAAAATATCGAGCCGCGTGTGGCAATCTCAGAGAAGATATTATTTCCATAACTGCAATGGCATGCGAGAAACGATGCATATAAATAGCAGAGGAGGCAACACGCTTCTTTGTGCACTTTTGCTATTGAAACTCGCTGACTCATGCTCTCTTTTACATGTATTGCTCGGGGCCAGCGAAGAAAAGGCAACTTTTCATATTATATTCTCGACAAATCTTTGCTTTGCGCTCGAATATACGGGACACTTATGAAGTTTTGGTCGTTCTCAGTTGAGAATCGCGCAACAACTCAAACACGGCGCGAAGCTCGTCGCAAACACACACACACACGGCGAATGAGAAATCCGCCTACTGAGCGAAATGAAAATAAGCTGCGTTTTCTTTCTGCTCCCAGCAGAGAAGCAAAACTGTTGTTTCGTTTGCACGCACAGTGTCTATAAAATTGGGAAGACAAAAGATCGTTGTCTATGTTCTTCTGAACTTTGCTCCATTTGAAAACTAACAAACACTTGATAAACTTTATTTGCTAGAAATACTAATCACCGCGATGGAAATATTGATATTAATTAATAATTTCCATAATAATAATAAACGCAGTCATCCGCATTGAAAATTATGATATTTAGTTTTACTGTGGTAAAATTTTCATTCAATGCAATTAACCAGAGATATATTTTAATATTAAAATGGCGATGGATGATAAAAGAGAGGAAATTAAAAAAAACTTTTAGTGAAACAGCTCTAGAGCCATGCCGAATTAAATCAATATTTCAAAAACGATATTATGATTGAATTTACCGGGAAAACGCCACTTTTGATTAGAACAAAAATTACATTATTTTAGCCGCGCCTGTTCCTTTAACAAATATTCACTAAATATGAAATTAATAAAAGGAGGGGAAAATTTTGAAATTTTTTTCATTACAATTGTGAACGAAACGAAAAATTAGCTACAATAGAGACGTCCCATTGAAAACCATTATTTTTTTATACAAAGCGGTTGAATTCCACAAGGAAAAGTCCGTTTTCTTCACTTTCAAAAATTGTGATACATATTTGCAGATTACTCCTTTTTATTTCCTATTATTTCTGTTGATTATTTGTAAATATTTTAATATTATTTATATTTATTATTTATATAATTTGATAGATAATACAATACTTTTTATATTACTCATTATTCAATAAATTATTGAGCCGTTTCTTCTTTGTAATTTTTCTCATTAATTTTGAGTAAATCGTGAAGAAGGAACAACAATCATACTATGCGAAATTAGATAAAAACTGGAAACAAAAGAACTCTAAATTTCTATTTTATCCAAAAATATCAGAATTTGTTTTTTTTTTCTTTTGAAATAATGCTTCATTAGTATTTCTCGACCGTTTTAGTTTTGATATTAGGCAGTTTACCCAAAAATAATATTATAGTACAGAGTTCGTGTGCCGGAATTAAATTGCAAATTCGCGAGCTGCGACGGCGAGTATTATGGTTGCGAAAGTCCCGCCGCTGTAATTACGCGAGAAGATTATTCTGCGCGCATTATCTCGGCCCCGACGTGCACTTAACTGCCGGCAGGGCGGATGCGAAAAATAGAGGCGCCCGCAGAAGGAGCGTTAAAACAATTTTTCGTGGTTATTATCGTTCGTCCTCATCAGCTCGGAAATTCACATCCGAGCCGCCGAGATTTCGTTCCTTGGTACCAAAGAGGAGGCAGGGGCTGGACCACTTTTTAACTTCAGCGCGTAGCAACAAGTAGGCCATAATGAGAAGGTTGTTAGCCGGGTCTGCCTACACTAGCGGGGCGCGCACTAACAAGGGTGGCCTGCAGAGACGTGAAAAATTGAAACGCCAGCAATATGAGACGCGCTCGCCAATCTTACTCAGGGATCGCCTTTGTGCGCCGCGAAATCAAATCAAGGCTATCGAAACACACAAGCATTGTTCGCCCCTGCCGGCAGCAAACTTGGTGCTGCTCCTCGCGTCCTCCCTCGATTCTGGCAGATCCGATTACGCTCCGACTAGAGATATTTTACGTCCCTAGAATCAAAATGAGATCCACTGGCTAGTAGTGAACAAACTTTCTAGTATAAATTTAAGATAATTAAGTATTTATTATAATAAAGTCACAATATCTCTACATTTTAAATGTTTTTTATCTTTATTATTTTTTAATTTTATATTTAAATAACATTTATTTTTCGTTTGGAGGCAACTTTGCTTCGTTTTTTATTTTATCTGGGAAAGAAATTTAGCTTTTGCTTTTTCTATAAATGTGTCATAGTAGGATCATTAATAATTACTTTTGAAAATTAATAATAATACTTTTGTAATTGCCGAGGTTGAGTCTTCAGTATAGATAATAATATCGTATATTCTACTAATTTAATAGATTTACTTTTATAATTGAAATTTTTCTTTTTATGTCCACATTGTTACAAATATTATTGTTTACATTCATCTGTTGATAACAATTTATTTTAAAAAAAAAGGACAAAACGGCACCACCACTAGCAAGAATTTTGCCATAAATTCCAAGATCTAAAAGATCCCAACTATATAAATTTCAATATTTGACATCGCCAATTTCAATTCTCCTTCTAGCCTATTTAATTTTACGCCCAACAAATCCCAGCCCTGTAGCTGCACAAACTGGAGCAGAGACCGCTCTTAAGCTTACAATTAGAGCAGCCACTGCTCCATCGCAAAATTGTGGACTAATTTGTAAAGATATAAAATTACTCAAAACTTGAAATTAGAGCCGTCGAAGCTGTTTACTTTGCTGGGTTTATTTTTATTTGAAACAAATTTGCAAAATTCCTTGTGACAATGAAATAAAAACATTAAAATTCCCAAGAATATATAAATTTACAATATTTGCTCTTTTTTGTTTCAGGTAAGGAAACCATCATCTCTTGTTCTTGTAAACTGGATTTGAAAACAGATGTAGAACAGCAGCAGGTACAGTCAAAATTTAACCGTGTCCCTGTTTTGCTTCACATAAAAATTTAGTCGCGCACCTCTCACTGACACGCCAAATAAATTTGTCGACAAAAGAGTCGCCCGGCGTGTAATGCGGCTCATAAAAAACAATCCCTCACGCTCGCGCACACGACGTAAGTGACAAGGGTCAGTAAATAAATTTGGCACCCGGGCCTCCGCCGGACAGATGAGCGAGCGGCGACCAGCACCGGCTGTTGTAAAATTCACGCAGATGTGCCCATGTCTTTTTCACACCCATACCGCTGCTTCTTTCTTTTTTTTTCGCCCGCTGGCCGCATATATCGGGAGGGGAAACCACGACAGCACTTTTTGAAGGATTTGCACTTGACACCGGAGAAAAGGGACACAGCATAATGCCGCTCTGGCCGTGGGAAGCTGACGGCAGCTCTGCTTCGGGTTGTTCTCTGACGAGCGGGTTGCCGGCCACAGAATTCTGCAGGCGCTATAAAATGAAATGTGTTAAAATCCGTGGCATGTGAATATATTATTCTGGACAAAGGGCCGAGGAATCAAGTTAAAAAAAAATAATTCAAACGTTTTATTTTTCTTAAAAAATTTATTGTTGCCCTATTCAAAAAAATTGTCCAAGATTATTCTTGTAATGGTCAAAAATGACAAACAATAATAATAATTCTATTTATAATTAAAATGAAATGTAACACATCACAATAACACACGTAAAAACCAAAATTATATACAAATAGACTAAATAAATAATAATTTAGGAGATCTTATGGCTAAGTTGGGTTATTTGTTATTATTATTATATTAATTCTTCTCAGTCGGTGATCTTCATCCATTATTATTAATTCTTTTTTAAATATGATATTTATTTCAAATATTGAATCAATGAAAAAACTGATTATGATTGGGGCCTTTTAAATATTTCGTTCTAAAATAAAGTCACTTATGACAAATAGGTTAATGAACGCCAATTTTAAAGTTCCTATTTAGATCAGATTTAGATATTATAAAATATTGAAT